ATATGTGCCACACTTTTTCAATCCATTCATCTGTTTGTGAACATTTGGGTTGTTTCATGTCTAAGCAATCATGAATAATGCTGTAATAAACATTGATGTGCAAGCACTTTTCCAACTGAGCATTGTCCTATCCTTTGGTTAGATACTCAGAAGTGGGATTGTTGGATCAAATGGTATTTCTATTTGTAGGTCTTTGAGGAACCTCCATATTGTTTTCTACAGTGTACCAATTTACATTCCCACCAACAGTGTAGGAGAATTCCCCTTTCACCAGAACCCCACCAACACTTAACACTTTTTGTATTTTTGACCTTCGCCATTCTGACTGGAGTTAGGTGGTATGTCATTGTGGTTTTAATCTGCATCTCCATTATGATGAGGAATTTTGAGCATTTTTTCATATACTTTTTGGTTGGTTGTATGTCTTCCTTAGAGAGATTTTCTGTGCAGCTCATTTTCCCATTTTTGTGTTTAGAAGTTTTTGCTATATGGCACATGTGCTCGCCAGAAAGACAGAGAGAGACAGAGAGATAGAAAGCGAGAAATCACCCACCGAGGGGATGGCCACACCACAATCCCTTCTCCTCCATTCTCCTCTCAGGATCTTGGGCATGCATGCACGCACATGTGCCCGGCATGAGTTTAAGCCACCAAGTTCAGGACTCGAACCGCGATTGACTACATGGGAGTCCAGCAGCATAGCCATTATGCTAACTGCTGGTCCCTATTTTCCCATATTTTAATTGGGTTAATCATCTTTTTTTTTCTGGGTAAACTGCTTGAGTTCCCTATGTATTCTGGTTATCAGTCCCTTATCTGAGGCATAGTTTACAAAAATATTCTCCCATTCTGAGGGTTGTTGATTCAGACTGATTACTATGTCCTTTGCTGTGCAGGAACTTCTTAATCTGATATAGTCCCACTTGTCTATTTTAGGGATTATTGCCCATGCTTTGGGAGTCTCATTTAAAAAGTCTTTGTCTACCCTAATGTCTCCCAGAGTTTCCCCAGTATTTTCCATCAGCAGTTTTAATTTGAGGTCTTAGGTTCAGATCTTTGATCCATTTTGAGTTGTTTTTTGTTAATGGTTAAAGATGGGAATTCAGTTTCATCTATCTGCAAATGGATACCCAGTTTTTCCAGCACCATTTGCTAAAGAGGTTTTCCTTTTCCCAATGGATTGACTGGTATCCTGTGTCAAAAATCAGTTGGCTGTAAGCTTGGGGTTTATTTCTGGGGTCTGTATTCTATTCCATTGGTTCACATGTCTGTTTTTGTGCCAATAAGCAATGTTTACTTGTGTGCCATGGAGCCAGCCCTGAATTTATTTTGGTGCAAAAACTTTTTAAAATCTATGTATCTGTTTTTCATAATATACATTTTCCTTGTGCTTATTGAAGACTCCTCATAGTGCTTCAACCTGCTGGGAGCAGGTCTGGATTTAACAATAACATTAAAGAAACTATTTTTTAAATTTATTTATCTCATGAGTAAGAGAGATGGCACCCCTAATAGAGTCTTGATTGCCATGGTCCATCTCTTCATAGAGGCCTCCAGACTTGAACCAGCAACCTTTCCATGTGGGTCTGTCCTACAGAGTGTTGCATTGACCACTGTGCCACAGTCAGACCTCAAGAAACCATTTTATATCCACAATTCAGTATGTGGCAAAAATTAGCACCTGTCCACATCTGTGCTCAAAACTCAATGTGCTTGTGATGTGGCTCAGCTGAAGATGAGAGCCCACATTTTATGTGAGGATTAAGCTCTGAAGTCATGCAAGTCGCCCATGTTACATTATAAGACCTAATGCTTATTGAGCATGTTCCAGCTGCTAACCGTATCAATGATCTACCCAACAGCCTGAAAAAGTCTGTTCGTTTATAACCTACTGAAGGGTTGTAGCTTAACAAGTGGCAACAACAGCATTTGAACTAGGTCTGTCTGAAGTGGAAGCAAAGGTCTTTAACCACTATTCCACCCAAGGTCTGTGAGTGTGAGGCAACACAGGATCTTTACTTGAGGTAATGAGAAGCAAAAGGCTGTGAAGTCTCTATTCCACCTCCCCAACCCCATGCTGTCCTAAGTATATAGTTCCTAAGAAGCCAAGTCTCATAAGGGATGCTTTGCGAAGGTTTCACCTCCTAAAATAAAATTAGTTCAGATTCTTCAAACAGCTGGACACAATTCTTCATTATGTTTTCATCTGAAACTCTGCAGATGAGACCTTGTTTGAATTGATTTTTTGAGAAGCTCAGAAAAATCATCATGACCATGTCATTCATGGAGTCAGGATTCAGAAGGATTGGCTCACTTACTATGATCCTAAGGGCCCAGTACTTAGGTGCTTTGCCATGGCCTTTGCTTCCTGATGGGACCCAGCAGCCATAGGTTTTGTTAGCCTCAGGCTTTTCCACCCTTCTGCCTCTGCGTGTGTGTAACCTTCTTGTGTAAAGGTGAAGAAGTGCTTTCTTCTACATTGCATGCCTTGTGGAATTTCAAGGTCATCTCCACATCTAAGTGCAGATTGTCAGATAAGTTAGCCTTGGGGACATTTCCAGAGGTCTTAGGCTTTTCATATGCCCATGAGCCCTTCAACCTTCAACCTCCTGACATTCACCATAAGATACTGTTTAAATCTACACATAAAAAATGTTGTATGATTTTTTTTATAGCAAGAGTTTTATTAATTGCAATTTTTTAAAGAGATTTTTGCTACAGGGCACATGGGCTTGCTAGAGTGACAAAAAGTGAGAATGGTAGGTGGCCACACTACAGTCTCTACTCCATTCTCCTCTCAGGATCTTGGGCACTCATGCACATGTGCCTGCTGTGAGTTTTAAGCCACTGGGTCTGGGACTTGAACTGCAGTTGACTACATGGGAGTCCAGTGTTGTAACCATTATGCCATCTGCTTGTCCCTTATTAAATGCAATTTTTCCCCTTAATTAAAGCCCTAGGAATTTGCACTCTGCATTGTGTATACACACAGTGTAGAAACAGGGTAGGATTTGGGGTTTTAAGTGGTGTTTTCTAAGCAGGACTCCATGTACTGTGCTAACAGCTCACCTCACCAAAAACACCCACACACAGACACACTGGCACACACACACCCAAGTCATAGTGGAGGATAAATATCGAACAACACACAAAAAACTAAGCTTGATATACAACCTACTGTGAGACTATAAGAAATCCTGGCAGGGAGAACTTTGGTAGTGACATGTGAAGGGAATTTAGTTCTTTTTTTTTTTTTTTTTTTGGGGGGGGTTTTGGTATAGGGCGTGTGGTCGTGCCA